ACAGCAACATGGGAGGAGTTGATCTGCTCGATATGTATATAAGTTTATATCGCATATATATTAGATCTCGAAAATGGACCCTTCGAGTAATTATGCATTTTGTGGATTTTGCTCTATCTAATAGTTGGATAGAGTATAAACAAGATTGCATCGAAGCTAAAATTCATAAAAAAGATATTATGGATTTGTTGGAATTTCGTATGCACGTTACCAAAAGTTTAATTTATAAGAACAAGCTTGTAAATGTAAAGAAACGTGGTCGTCCTTCAAAAAGTGAAGGAGAAATTACACCGGACAGAAAAAGAAAATTTCGTTGCTGTGAGAAAAGACCAATAAGAGAAATTCAACACGATAATGTGGACCATATGCCCCAAATCGATGATAAAAAAGAAGCAACACGATGCAAGATGCCATTATGCAAAGGAAGGACACATTTTTATTGTGACAAATGTCGTGTCCATTTGTGTTTAGTAAAAGAGAGGAATTGTTTTGAAAGATTTCACAGAAAATAATAATTATATATACACATATATAACTGCTTATTCAAAAGCAATTATTTATAATATAATAATAAATTATTTATAATATAGTAAGAGAATTTTTTTTCATACAAATATTACTCAAGATCTCCTATGCTACAAATTTTGAATAAGGACCATATGTCCATTAAAATGTACATTTAAAAATTATATATAAATGAGTAAATATTTTTGTAAAAAGTATATTGTTGCTTTCATTCACATGAATTAAGTTAATTTTAGTATAAAAATAATTTTTTCCTAAACGACAAAAAATTCGGGTCTGAAGGGGATAACTGCGAATTCGCCAACTTCGTTACTACCAACCCTCACCCGCGAAAAGTACCTGGCAGATGAACCATTAGAAGTTTTCGACACTCCAATTGCACAATCTACTCCATTCAATTCACCGGAACAGAATAAGTCCATTTTATCATATTCCATTAATAATGAAGCAAGTCCAATAACAGGAAATTTGATCTCTTTCGAAGACGACACCGACACAACGATCATTCAAACGAGTCACCAACCAGAAGATAAAAATCAAAACACAGTAATAGAAACAGCTGCAACTCATTTACCCGCCTCGCCTTCACCACATGTATCAAATCAAGGATTGTTATTTCGGAAAGAACAGACCCAAGACTGAACCTGTGGGACATCGTACCGTCTCCTTCCGAGCCTATCGGTGCCGCACAACTGTCAACAAACAATTCAACGAATCCCTTGATCATCACTCCACCCGTAGAACACCGCATACCCCTAATTTCGGAAGCTCACGACAGCCTTATCGGAGGACACAAGGGAATTACCAAAACATATAGACGGTTATTTCCAAAGTACACCTGGCCAGGATTAAGGAATGATATACAGGAATATATTAGGAAATGCAAAAGCTGTCAGGAGCAGAAGCTGGTTCGAATGAAAACTCGACAGCCGATGCTTATCACCGATACACCAACAGAACCATTCGATAAAATTGCTTTGGACACTGTAGGACCATTACCTGAAACACCCAGCGGAAACCGATACATCTTAACAATGCAGGACAATTTAACGAAATATTGTTTGGCCGTCGCAATACCAAATATTCGAGCAACAACCATCGCAGATGCCTTTGCCCGGCATTTCATCGCCGTTTACGGAACTCCGCGTGCCATACTGACTGACCGAGGAACCAGCTTTTTGGGGAAAATAATGACACACATGGCAGAAATTTTCAAAATTAAACAACTCACTACATCAGGCTATCAACTACAAACTAATGGATCTTTGGAAAGGAGTCATCACGTTCTCACCGAATACCTGAAACATTATATGAATTCATACGAAGATTGGGACTTGTTAATTCCATTCGCCATGTTTTCATATAATACTTCGGTACATGAAGCGACTGATTTTACACCATTCGAGCTAATATTTGGAAAACCTGCACGGATACCAACATCATTCCCTACCGGAGAGAAGTTAAAGACCTATGGATCATACATTTCAGAGTTAACCACCAAATTGACCGAAATTCGTAACATAGCTGCAAATAATTTGAATAAGGCAAAGGAGCGTTCGAAACGCTATTACGACAAACGCTCAAGACCAGTGGAATTCAAGATTGGACAATATGTTTATGTCTTGAACGAACCACGTACCAGCAAATTCGACCCCCACTACGTCGGACCATTTAAAATAATAAATAAAACAAAAACTAACAATGCCGTTTTGGAAATCAACGACCGCAAAACAATAGTGAAGCATGAGGATAAACTTAAGCATGCCTACCTGTCAGAAGATAGTACTGAATTAGACTAAAGGACTACCAGTCCACCACACACCACCCAACAGCAGCCGGAGGACTACCTGTCCTTTCCACCTTCAACATCAACAGAAACCGGAACAGTTCAGTGCTAGTGTCGCAGTGCATGGGCCATATGAGCCAGTGAACAGTGTCGACGGATGTACTCGTGTGCACGTATGTAGTACGCAGTACCAAACGTTTTAGTCCCAATTATGAAAGCGCCATTATTAAATGATGTTTCATTTAAGAGTATTGTTACATATCATTCATGCATGGGGCTGAAACGTTTGGTGACTTGGGCGTTGGCTCGAGCATCTAGCGTACAACCCTTTGAACGGGGTTGACTCATGCCGTATGCGAGCACCCGGCCCAATTTTCATTACCTTTTATGGTAATGCCCCGCCTTAGTACTGAGCATTTTCAACTATATAAGGGCCGCGGTTTCTTACTCGTAGAGCTCAGTTTTTCCTAAAACTCTCGGCACGACGTTATTGTGACACCCAGGGCAAAATCGGGCTATAATCCCCTTCAAGCAACTATCTACCTTAGCGGTTTTATCAGTGAGTGTCCATTAATCGAGTAGTAGCTCCCGCGAACGCGCCGCGTAAAAGCCGATAACAGATCTTTCGCCTTCAAGGCAATTTAGCAATTGTACAACTTTTGTAAATCCATCGCTGTACTTGAGCATCGTTAAGAATATATATTCAAGTAGTATTCCTTACGTGTGTTATTCACTCAATTCAACCCTGAACCATATTAACCGTAAGGCTAGGGGTATCTCACGAACCCGGTACACCTTTACCGCTCGAGGTGTACCATCACGACAGAGAGCAAGATCCTAAAAACATCCTAAAAACCTACGTGGCCCCTAGGGTATAAAGCCCCTGGTTCGTCCACTCCTACTAGCGGCTCCCAGGGTATAGAGCCCCTGGTTCGTCCGGACCTCCTTTCTTTATCCTAACCATACCCAAAACCACCAGTCCAGTACTGCCCCTCAACCGAATCCAGGATCCCGCGCTCGCGCTCGTAACAAGGTGTACAACGCCTCAAAAATTATAAAACATGGTGTTCTCGTACGAATGGTGTGTGAAGACACTACGGGTTATATCTGTAATTTGGAAATATATTGCGGACAAGGAAAACCATTATTACAAACAATCTCAACCCTTCTTCTAGAACCATATGTTTGCAGACTGGTATGAGAACCACTTTAAATCAAGTGTCAAACAGTATCAATTGGATAATAAATATCAAGGGAAGACAATTTTGCTGGTTGATAATTGTCAAGGCCACATAATTGAAACAGACTGTAGCGGCTAGCCGTACAAGTATAAAAAGGCATAGGACATGCAAACGGCTAGCACGGTTTATGACATGGACGACAGCGAAGCTATCTTTGAGAAAGCCGTTTCTGCAATTAGAATTTGTAAAAAGCATGCCCGTAGTAAGAATTTGTTAAACGGCCTCGATGGTGAATCGCTAGTGTCATAAACCCTGAGTTTCCCCAAGGGTCTTCTATGCAAGGACAAGCGGCCATCGGCTGGTCACGCTGCCGACCTTTTTTTTTTGTCGTGGGGAAAATCTTCGAAAGACTCCCTCCCACCTCTTTGGGGAGAGGCGGGAGGGGTGTGTGGGATTCCCCGCGCCCATTACTTTTATAACGGGCGCGGGACCTACCCACTAAAAACCCCACGGTGACCCTTCCGCACGATTTGGGAGGATACCGGGAATCGCTCGAAGCATACTTCCGGTATCCTCCCCGTGCCCGCGCTTTGCGCCCACCCGCGGGGGGACAAACGGTCCCCCCGGTAATCGCCCTGTCTCATAGCGGCAGGACGAGGCCACTTCGTCCTGCCGCCATCCGTCCCGGGGCCGCGTCTAGTGGCGGGTGCGAGCCCCAACTCGCAACCGCCGCGACCCCGTTTCTACCCCTCGGCGACCGGCAGCCAATGGCCGCACCAGACCACCGAGGGTGCCGCTCCGTGCGCCGGACCCGGACAGGAGGCACTGCCACCCCATCCGGTCCGACCCTGCGCCGCCTGGCGGGAGGGGGCTCCTATCAGGACCCCCCTCCCAGCCTGGGTCATGCGCCACGCCGAGGGGGCCGCCCGCGTCGCCTGACACCCAGGCGACGCTCTCTCGCCACCAAACGAGCGCGAGCCTCAGCGCGCCGCTGACGCTCGCGCTCCCTTCCCGCGGTCTCCTTCTGCAACATTACGATTTCGCAGAAGGAGGCCACGGCCCTCCACTTCTCCTCGCTGCCGAGCATGGCGCGCACCATGCCCGGCAGCGTGACATCCCGCCCGATGACGCCGATCAGGACACGGCGCTCACACTCTTGACCCTTAGAGCCATCCGCCTCTGCACCCGACGCAGCATAGTCATGCTGCGCCGGGAGGCCGCCGGGTCGTCCGCCCAGACGGGGGCCCCGTATAGGGCCACCGACTGAACCATTGCCACATAGAGGCGGCGAACTCGGTCCGCCGCGCCCCCCAGGTTGGGCAGAATCCAGCCCAAAGCCCCGACCATCCTCTCCAGTCGGGGGACCAGGCAGCGGAAATGCTCCTCGAAGCGCCAGTGGCGTCATTTGAAAAAGGGCGGCCATTTTGGGTCGGCAACCGTACCTCGTGCGTGGAACTACACGCGACGGCCATATTGGAATAGCGTCGCGAATCGCGCGAGGAAAAAAAATGAACGCGGAAACAGACCTCGCGGAAACACAAGAACAACGCGCCGCGAGAGTGGAAGCAGCCCTGGCGGCGGCTCAGGCGCAGCTCGCAGCGTTAAATGTAGGGCGTATAGACTCTTACCGTACCCCGAAAATACCCGGATTTTTCCGCGATGATCCAGCGCTCTGGTTCTATCAAGTGGAAGCGTCATTCCGGACCGCGCGCGTGACGGATGAACGCACCAAGGCGGACTCAATAGTCGCCGCGTTAGATTCCGAAATCATAGCGAGTTTCCGCGATCTTATCACGAATTCGTCCTTAGAAAACCCGTATACGCAAATAAAGGAACGAGTTCTGGCGACATACTCCGCGTCATCGGAAAGCCGATTGCGCAAATTGCTGCTGGGGCAGGTCCTAACCGACGGGAAACCAACCCAAATCCTAATACGCTTGCGAAGCCTCGACGACGGACGGTGCGGCGAACATGTCATTAGATCTATATTTATGGATCAATTGCCGGCACAGTGTCGAGCGATTCTCGCGGCCGCGAAAATGCCCGACCTAGCGGAGGTCGCGGAGTTAGCGGATAAGATCATCGAGGCTATGAGCGGGGGAGCGAATTACGCGGCACCCGTGTCCAACGCGCCGGCACGGACGTTAGAGGCGAAAGTGGACAAGCTCGCGGCCGATCTCGCGAAACTGTCAAGCGACGTGGAACGCCTCGTAAAAGACTCGAGGTACCGTGGGCGCACGCGAACGCCGAGCCAGACAAATCGCAACGTGAAACGAGGTAATGCGGAATCGAGCGAATTATGCTGGGCGCACAGAAGGTTCGGGTCGGACGCGCGGGTGTGCAAGGGGAATTGTAGCTGGAAGGAAAAAGCGGATCAGGGAAACTGAATCATCCCTCCATCGCGGAGACCGATGCGGGGGAGCAGTTATCGCAAAACCGTCTCCACGTGCGGGACCGGCGGTCCGGTCAACTCTTTTTAATCGACACTGCCGCGGAAATCTCGTTACTGCCCGTCCTCAAAAAGATCGATCGCGAACCAAGCGCGTTCAAACTATACGCCGCGAATAATTCGGTCATAAACACGTTCGGCGAGACGCATCGTGTCCTAGATTTGGCGTTGCGACGCCCAATCGGGTGGAACTTTTGTATCGCCAGCGTTCCGTACCCGATCATCGGCGCAGACCTCCTGAGGCATTACGGCCTCGTGGTGGACCTGCGGAAACGTCGCCTTACAGATTCCACCACGACTCTGTGTACACTCGGCGTCGTGCGGCCGGCGTCGTTGAACGCAATCCATACCGCGAACCCGGCGAGCGAGTACGCGCGAACTCTCGGGGATTTTCCGGAGGTAACCGGCCTAGCCCAAGAGATACCCTTGGAGGCGCGGGGTGTTTCTCACCACATTGAAACGCGCGGTCCTCCGATCGCGGAGCGACCCCGGCGTCTGCCCCCGGATAAGTTGCGGGCCGCCAAGCGCGAATTTGAGCGGTTGGTCGTGGCGGGGATATGCAAACCGTCATGTAGCCCATGGGCAAGCCCCATACACATGACGAAGAAAAAGAACGGTCAATGGCGAATGTGCGGCGACTATCGCCGGTTAAATGCCGTCACGGTACCCGATAAGTACCCCGTGCCGCATGTGCACGATTTTTCCGCGAATTTGTGCGGGAAAACTATTTTTTCGTCTCTGGATTTACAAAGCGCGTACCACCAGATTCCGGTGGCCCCTGAAGACGTTCCAAAGACGGCGGTTATCACTCCATTTGGGCTTTTCGAATTCCTAGCAACGCCATTCGGACTGCGAAACGCGGGACAGACGCTCCAGCGTTACGTCTATCGAGCGCTCGGGGATTTAGATTTCGCGTTCGTATATATCGACGACATTCTCATGGCATCCGCGTCAAAAGAGGAGCATGAGAAGCATATCCGAACCGTCCTGGAACGCTTAAAAAACTTCTACCTCAGGGTTAACGTAGAAAAATGCATATTCGGCGCACGAGAGTTAGAGTTTCTCGGTTACAGGGTAAATCCTGACGGGTTGAAACCGACTCCCGAAAAGGTCGAGGCAATCGCGAAGTTCCCGAAACCACGTACAGTTTCGGAACTCCGCAGATTTCTGGGTATGGCCAACTTTTATAGGCGCAACCAACCCCTCGCCGCGGTAGTGCAGGCGTCATTGAACGCGTATTTAAAAAACTCGCGCAAAAATGATAAAACGGAAATCGTGTGGACACCGGAATCTGAGGCCGCGTTTGAAAAAGTCAAAACTGACCTCGCCAGCACAGTGACGTTGGCACATCCCTCCGACGCGGCTATGACAAGGGTCGTAACCGACGCGTCGGACTTCGCGATGGGCGCGTCGTTAGAGCAGGAAATCAACGGCGAATGGAAGCCTTTAAGCTTTTTCTCGCGCAAGTTCAGCCCGGCCCAGTGCCGTTACAGCGCGTACGATCGCGAGCTAACCGTGATATACGAGGCAATCAAATTTTTCAGGCACTTCTTAGAGGGTCGCGATTTCGCGGTGGTAACGGACCACAAACCGCTGACGTACGCCTTCTTACAGCGGTCCGACAAGGCGTCGCCGCGCCAGGCTCGTCAGCTTACATATATAGCGCAATTTACTACGCGAATTGCATACATTCCCGGGGGCGAAAACATGGTCGCGGACCCACTCTCGCGAGTCGAGTCGATCCGTCTCCCTACCGAATTTAGTTTAGTCGAACTTGCCAGGGAACAATTAAGCGATCCACAGCTAAAAGAAATACGAGACTCAGAAAATCCGATTATCGCGTTAAAAAGGTTAATGTGGGGGCCGGAGCACACACACGTGTACTGCGAGATGTCTGCGGAATCAATTCGTCCGTATATACCTGTGTCGTTGCGACGACGGGTCTTCGACACCTTCCATAACCTTGCACACCCGGGCGCCAAGGTCTCGGACAAACTGATTAGGCAGCGGTACGTGTGGCCTAATATGCATCGAGACGTGGCAAAATGGTGCAAAAATTGTACGTCCTGCCAACAGGCGAAAATAGCGAGACATGTCCGATTCTTGCCGGAGCAAATCGTGGCTCCGGACGGGCGGTTTAACCCTTTTAGTGCCAGCGGGCCGATCTATCGGCCTGCGGTCCTTATGCGAAAACTGCCAAGGGCCGATGCGTTGTGGCGGACCGACCGCCCAGCGCGCTTACGTGCTGAGGGACTTTTTCTGCGCCTCGTTTGAAGGCCCTCGCTTGTTTACGTTCAGATCATTATTTCTCCGAGTGTCAAGTGGCATTCGTTTACACTTGGTCCTTATCTCCGATGCCAATAGTATAGACCACACCACACCATGCTTCAGTTCATTTGGTTTTTCTTCAGTCTTTCTCTGGCGCCTGTTAGTGAAAGTCGAAGCGTTTTCCTGATTTCTTCTATTCCAATATTTGGTTTTAGTTAGTTCATATATTATTTTGAAATAATACCTCGGTCAATAATGGCAGAGCTATAAAGCTATTCATATAAGCGCGCATATCAAATCGGCCCGTGGCATTCTTCGCATGTACTCCGTAAAATGCCTGGCACTAAAAGGGTTAAACATGTACACATGGACATCGTCGGTCCGTTGCCGGATGACGGGGGTTACCGGTATTGTTTAACATTAATCGACCGTTTCACCCGTTGGGCCGAAGCGGTCCCGTTAAAAGAAACGTCGGCCGGAACAGTGGCTCGCGCGTTTTACGATCAATGGATTGCGCGATACGGATCGCCCGAGATCTTGACCACCGATCAGGGCGCTCAATTCGAGTCGGGCGTGTTCACGGCGTTGTTGAAGTTGATCGGATGTCACCGCATTTGCACGACGGCGTACCATCCCGCGTCGAATGGCATGGTCGAGCGGTGGCACCGAACTTTAAAAGCCGCGATAATGTGCCACGCGGGCGCAAGCTGGACTCGTGTGCTGTCCACGGTACTGCTGGGATTGCGAAACCACGTGCGGCTTGACACGGGCGCGTCACCGGCGGAAAACGTTTACGGAACCGTGCTCCGTATTCCGGGAGAATTCTTCTTACCGGAGGAGATGTCCGTCAACCCTCAAATGTTTCTGGAGGAGTTTCAGGAGTACATGTGCCAAGTGCGCCCAGTGCCGGTAGCGCAGAAGTTCAAAAAGCGCGCGTTTGTGTATAAAGACCTAAAAACTTGCTCTCATGTATTCCTGCTGACAAAAACTGTCAAGAAGCCGTTAGAGCGACCGTATGCTGGGCCGCATCGCATATTGGAGCGATTATCCGACCGCGTATACTCGATCGACGTAAACGGTAGCGCAAAAACTGTGTCCGTTGAACTGATTAAACCCGCGTACATTGTGTGCGAGGAATTGCCGACCGACGGCAGCGAAATTCCGCCGTCAAATCAACCGCGCGACGCGCATCCAGCGTTGAGAACGTACTCGGGGCGAAAAAAATCGGTGACGTTCGCAACCAACATAGTATGTAAGAAGCAATGTAACAGTTCCTAAAGAGACCTAAGATATTCGTCGTCTATAGTCACATATTTATATATATTATTATTGTATCATATTATGTTATATTATATTATAGTATATTTTTACAAGTACCCCAAAAGAAAAATAATAAAGAATAAACGGTCCTACTCCGTTAGCACTCGAGGGGGAGTGTGTGGGGACTAGCGACGCATAACCCCAGGTCGAGAGAGTGGGGGAAAAAACAAGCGAGCGAAGCCGCCTGTGCGCGGGATACGACGGAGCGAGCGTTCCCGACGGGGCATTAGAACTTGGTCTGTACAAGTGATAGCAGCAAAATAAACCGTATCAATTACAACTAGTCTCCTGTTCCCGTACGAGTATCACCCCACGCAGTCTAGACTGCTGGGCAAGGTAGAGTAGGCTACCCACAATAAAACTTCCCTACATTAGGAATGGCTGGAACAAAATTTGGTAATTATTTAGAAAAGGTCGGGACTTACCGATTTCGATGAAATCGGTATGAAAATCTAACTCAGACCTAACACAAACCTTACTATTCTACCTAGTAACTAATATAATGAATTAGGTCTGGGTTAGATGTTCTTATACCGGCCGCCGTAAGGCGGTCGGCCACGCATTCATTTTCTATTTCAGTTTTCTTTATTGATATTATCAGAAGTGGGAAAGATTTCAGCCATTATTTCGAAAAATTTCATTATTCAATCATTAAAATCATATTGTCGACGGAAGAAGAATTCAGCTAAATAGCCTACATAATGTACATATTTGGCGAGTTCCATACTTCGGAATATTCGAACCTTTGACAGCAATGCGTTTAATAACGATACCAATGCAGAACTAGATTTAGCTTGACACATTGTACATTATTTGTAGTCGGTTGTCATGCCGATTAATACAAACAAGAGAGAAAATCGACGATCGTGGACTGACGCATACAGAGTCACAGACATGTACTGTTGCGACGCGAGCAGGACCTCGCAATTTAGCCTTTATGGCAGGGTTAGTTGGCGACAGTCAAGGCCCTCGGTCGAGCCGTTGGCCGGGCCTGCAAACGACCCTCAGCCTTTTGTTACTCAAGGGTAACCAAGACGGAGTTTTCTAGACAGCTGAAATGCACGTGCGCGCACTTTCACTTGGCTAGCTTTCTCTTAATTATTACTAATATTCAAATTACTAGAAAACTCCGTCCCAACCCCGAAAAGGGCTTCCTCACCAGAGCCTGCCCTTTCCGCCAGTACAGTCAAACCACACCCACACAGAACAACTACACCAATCATTCAGAACCAACGACACTCCTACAACACGACACATTAGCCAATAAGAACATTCCACCATCCATGTAAATACCGACATCAGACCTGAAATAGACATTCAACGTTACACAGTCAAAAAGTCAACTTCGCT